CTACTGGTCGTGTTGGGTAGCTAGCAATCCTGGGATCTAAGGATCCTGGGACTAAACACCTCCCTCTGCAACTGGATCCTGGACTTCCTGACGGGCCGCCCCCAGGTGGTAAGGGTAGGTAACAACACATCTGCCACACTGATCCTCAACACGGGGGCCCCTCAGGGGTGCGTGCTCAGTCCCCTCCTGTACTCTCTGTTCACCCATGACTGCATGGCCAGGCACGACTCCAACACCATCATTAAGTTTGCCGACGACACAACAGTGGTAGGCCTGATCACCGACAACGATGAGACAGCCTATAGGGAGGAGGTCAGAGATCTGGCCGTGTGGTGCCAGGACAACAACCTCTCCCTCAACGTGACCAAGACAAAGGAGATCATTGTGGACTACAGGAAAAAAAAGAGGACTGAGCACGCCCCCATTCTCATCGACGGGGCTGTAGTGGAACAGGTTGAGAGCTTCAAGTTCCTTGGTGTCCACATCACCAACGAACTATTATTATTTGAAACCCCACCTCTTTAAGGAATACCTGGGATAGGATAAAGTAATCCTTCTACCCCCCCCCCCCCCCCCCCCCCCCCCCCACAATTTTTTGTAAAGTGGTTATCCCACTGGCTATAGGGTGAACGCACCAATTGGTGAGTGGCTCTGGATAAGAGCGTCTGCTAAATGACGTAAATGTGCCCTTGAGCAAGGCACTTAACCCTAATTGCTCCTGTAAGTCGCTCTGGATAAGAGCGTCTGCTAAATGACGTAAATGTAAAAAATGTAACTATCATGGTCCAAACACACCAAGACAGTCGTGAAGAGGGCACGACAAAGCCTATTCCCCCTCAGGAGACTAAAAAGATTTGGCATGGGTCCTCAGATCCTCAAAAAATTATACAGCTGCACCATCGAGAGCATCCTGACTGGTTGCATCACCGCCTGGTATGGCAACTGCTTGGCCTCCGACCGCAAGGTACTACAGAGGGTAGTGCGTACGGCCCAGTACATCACTGGGGTAAAGCTTCCTGCCATCCAGGACCTCTATACCAGGCGGTGTCAGAGGAAGGCCCTCAAAATTGTCAAAGACTCCAGCCACCCTAGTCATAGACTGTTCTCTCTGCTACCGCACGGCAAGCGGTACCGGAGTGCCAAGTCTAGGTCCAAAAGACTTCTCAACAGCTTCTACCCCTAAGCCATAAGACTCCTGAATAGCTAATCATGGCTACCCGGACTATTTGCACTGCCCCCCCACCCCACCCCATCCTTTTTACGCTGCTGCTACTCTGTTAAGTATTTATTCATAGTCACTTTAACTCTACCCACATAGTACATATTACCTCAACTACCTCAACTAGCCGGTGCCCCCGCACATTGACTCTGCAATGGTACCCCCCTGTGTATATATAGCCTCCCTACTGTCACTTTATTTTACTTCTGCTCTTTTTTTTCTCAACACTTTTTTTTGTTGTTGTTGTTTTATTTTTACTTTTTTTGTTTAAAATAAATGCACTGTTGGTTAAGGGCTGTAAGTAAGCATTTCACTGTAATGTCTGCACCTGTTGTATTCGACGCATGTGACCAATAAAATTTGATTTGATTTGATTTGACTAAATACTTTTTTCCCCCACTGTAGATACTTTTGTACCTGTTTCCTCCAGCATCTTCACAAGGTCCTTTGCTGTTGTTCTGGGATTGATTTGCACTTTTCGCACCAAAGTACGTTCATCTCTAGGAGACAGAACGCGTCTCATTCCTGAGCGGTATGACGGCTGCGTGGTCCCATGGTGTTTATACTTGCATACTATTGTTTGTACAGATTAACGTGGTACATTCAGGCATTTGGAAATTGCTCCCAAGGATGATCCAGACTTGTGGAGGTCTATAATTATTTTTCTGAGGTCTTGGCTGATTTCTTGCCAAAACTATAGTTTGTTAACAAGAAATTGTGGAGTGGTTGAAAAACGAGTTTTAATGACTCCAACCTAAGTGTATGTAAACTTCGGACGTCAACTGTAGGTAGCCTAGTGGTTAAGAGTGTTGGGCCAGTAACCAAAAAGTTGCTGGTTCGAATATCCAAGCCAACTAGGTGAAAAATCTGTCTGTGCCCTTGAGCAAGGCACTTAACCCTAATTGCTCCTGTAAGTCGCTCTGGATAAATGACTAAAATGTCAAATGTAAATGAAAAACATTGATTTTAGCTAGAGTAAGTGAGTGTGCCAATGTTTTCTGTAATGATGGACACAGAAGTACATTAGTCATTTACTTCTCTCTCCTTCACTCTCATTTATTCAATACAATTAAAACAACTTTATTTTTCTCAGAGGGGCAATTACTTGAGGCAATCTGCAACAACAATGACAACAAGACTAACATTTAGGCTAACTAGGCTAACTCACCTAACCTAACCATGTGTATTGGCCTTGACTAAGCCTATATTTACATACTGTATATGCATTTCGTATTGTGCCTCATACTGTAAAATGCTTTCTATAACTGTGGGTCCCAGATAAGAGGAATAATAAAATGTCATTAATTTATATTCAGTCAATGGTTGAATTGGACTATATTCAGTAAAAGTGTGAGTCATGTTAACATTTTTGACATTTCTATATTTTGGAGATTTGAAAGTACGCCTACTGTAGTTTAGTAACCATTGCAGAACTTTTGAATGAAACCTGAATATTGGCCTTGCGTATTTGTTTACAGTGGCTTGCGAAAGTATTCACCCCCCTTGGCATTTTCCTATTTTGTTGCCTTACAACCCGGAATTAAAATAGATTTTTGGGGGGTTTGTATCATTTGATTTACACAACATGCCTACCACTTTGAAGATGCAAAATATTTTTGGGGGTGAAACAAACAAGAAATAAGACTAAAAAACAGAACTTGAGCGTGCATAACTATTCACCCCCCCCCAAAGTCAATACTTTGTAGAGCCACCTTTTGCAGCAATTACAGCTGCAAGTCTCTTGGGGTATGTCTCTATAAACTTGGCACATCTAGCCACTGGGATTTTCGCCCATTCTTCAAGGCAAAACTGCTCCAGTTCCTTCAAGTTGGATGGGTTCTGCTGGTGTACAGCAATCTTTAAGTTGCGCCAGAGATTCTCAATTGGATTGAGGTCTGGGCTTTGACTAGGCCATTCCAATACATTTAAATGTTTCCCCTTAAACCACTTGAGTGTTGCTTTAGCAGTATGCTTAGGGTCATTGTCCTGCTGGAAGGTGAACCTCCGTCCCAGTCTCAAATCTCTGGAAGACTGAAACAGGTTTCCCTCAAGAATTTCCCTGTATTTAGCGCCATCCATCATTCCTTCAATTCTGACCAGTTTCCCAGTCCCTGCCGATGAAAAACATCCCCACAGCATGATGCTGCCCCCACCATGCTTCACTGTGGGGATGGTGTTCTCGGGGTGATGAGAGGTGTTGGGTTTGGGCCAGACGTAGCGTTTTCCTTGATGGCCAAAGAGCTCAATTTTAGTCTCATTTGACCAGAGTACCTTCTTCCATATATTTGGGGAGTCTCCCACATGCCTTTTGGTGAACACCAAACGTGTTTGCTTATTTTTTTCTTTAAGCAAGGGCTTTTTTCTGGCCACTCTTCCGTAAAGCCCAGCTCTGTGGAGTGTACGGCTTAAAGTGGTCCTATGGACAGATACTCCAATCTCCGCTGTGGAGCTTTGCAGCTCCTTCAGGGTTATCTTTGGTCTCTTTGTTGCCTCACTGATTAATGCCCTCCTTGCCTGGTCCGTGAGTTTTGGTGGGCGGCCTTCTCTTGGCAAGTTTGTTGTGGTGCCATATTCTTTCCATTTTTAAATAATGGATTTTTAATGGTGCTCCGTGGGATGTTCAAAGTTTTGGATATTTTTTTATAACCCAACCCTGATCTGTACTTCTCCACAACTTTGTCCTTGACCTGTTTGTAGAGCTCCTTGGTCTTTACATTTACATTTACATTTACGTAATTTAGCAGAAGCTTTTATCCAGAGCTTGGTGTTGCCCCTTGCTTAGTGGTGTTGCAGACTCTGGGGCCTTTCAGAACAGGTGTATATATACTGAGGTCATGGGACACTTGGATTGCACACAGGTGGAGTTTATTTAACTAATTATGTGACTTCTGAAGGTAGTTGGTTGCACCAGATCTTATCTAGGGGCTTCATAGCAAAGGGGGTGAATAAAATGCACGCACCACTTTTCCGTTATTTATTTTTTAGAATTATTTGAAACAAGTAATTTTTTTAATTTCACTTCACCAATTTGGACTATTTTATGTATGTCCATTACATGAAATCTAAATAAAAAATCATTTAAATTACAGGTTGTAATGCAACAAAATATTTGAAACGCCAAGGGGGATGAATACTTTTGCAAGGCACTGGTATGTGGACAGTTGTTATTGTTCTTTCTTGCCACTGGAACATTACCACCACCCCTAGACAGAAGACAATGTCACACATGAATGCCTGGGCGGACTGTGAAGTAGGCCTACAGTTTTAGTTTGTCGAGTCTGTGTCTGTGGGTAACTGCGTAATAGTGAGTGTCTGTAAATTTAGACAAAAACGAGGCAGTGGGTTGTGGTCTGGAGCTCGATGCTCTCTGTTTATCTTTAGATTTAACTTTCTGAGCTGACTGCACCGGAAGAAAGACTGTTCTCCCACCCTCGTACTAAGTGCTATAATTGAGAGTACCTTTTTTTCTCTCCAGAAATATAACAGCTACTTTTATCTACTCAGAACCAACTGACTGTCTATAGAGCTGGGAGACTAAAGTTGATGTTAGTTTTTTGTTCACCGATTTGGCGCTCTGCTGCATTTAAGCATTCTGACTGCCTAGAATCAGTGTCACTTGGCCTCAGCCTGGTCCCAGATCTGGTTGTGCTGTTTTGCCAACTCCTATGGTTATTATCAACACAGCATAAACAGATCTAGGACCAGGCTAACTTGGCGTCACACTGTAGTTCTAAACATTTCCAGATGACCCCTGACCCCATATTTCCTGCTCTTCCCATAGGTTGACAATGAGAGTGCCCAGAACGCTGTGTACGTCAATGTAGCGGAGCTCCGCAGAAGCATCTCCGAGTCCCCTCCCTCTGCCTCCTCCCCTCCCTGCTCTCCTCCTTACCTGGACTCTGAGGGATGGGAGGTGCACACTGACCAGGAGAGTGGACAGGAGTACTACTACCACCCCGAATCGGGGCAGACCACCTGGGACAACCCCCACATAGACCCTGACGCTCCCGCTGAGGAGCCTGTGTGTTCGTCTCCCTCGCCCTCCTCTCAGTCCCCCACCTCCGCCTCCCCCCCTGCATGGACCTCTGATTGGAAGCAGTGCTTTGATGTGACCAGTGGCATCCAGTACTTCTACAACCCAGTATCGGGGGAGACGTCTTGGGAGCCCCCAGAGCCAGAGTGCCCCTACCCCCCTCTGATGGAGCCTCTGAGTGTGCACAGCTCTCTGGAGGAAGGGCCGGTAAGGCCTGCTCCACTTAGACAGTCACTTACTTAGTCTATTTTAGTTTCACCCATGGGAAGTCTACTAATAATACAACGCTCATCTTTTTAATGAAGTTAAGCTCCTGCTAAGTCCTACACCTACAGTACATAGCAGACAGTTATTTTTCATAGATGATGTAATTATCCTCAAACTAGTAGACAATGCTTTCTGTACATTCTCACGTTGACCTCATTGGTAACTTTTTGCGAACTGCATTCTTGTGTTTTCACAATTTCAGAGATGTGAAAGAAAAAGCTAAAAGCTGTTTAAACTGCTTAGTTGAAATTAGGAACTTTGAAAAGCTAAAAGGAAACTAAGAGGAATGTTATCCATTGTCCTGGTCTCGATCTGTTTTGAAGCAGCACAGTGAGAGCATGTGACAAATAAAATGTGATTTGATTTGAATGTAACATTCTCACAACGTGTGTGTGTGTATGTATCTTTGTGTTGTCTGTCCTGTCTGTGGGTGTGCATCTGTGTTCACACACGTGTGTGTGTGCATGATGTGTGTGTGCGCATGATGCATGTGTGTGTCCAGCCTCCCCTGCCTGAGGAGGACTACCCAGCAGAGGACTACCCAGACCCAGCCGAGGCTGACCTACCAGAATCCCTGGAAGAGGAGCCGTTGGCTTTGTCCCCAGTGGGCCCTCACTCTTTCCCTAAGGACTACACCCCCAGCCATGTGATCCAGGCGGTCATCCCCAGGGCCAGCCTGGACAGGAGCGCCCCGGCGGGCTGGAACCTCAATGTAGACCCTGATGGAACCTGGGTGTTCTCCAGCAAACACTCACCTGAGCAGGTAAATAGACCCTTTATTTAGCCGTTATTTATTCAGGTTAGTCTCATTGAGATAAAAATATACTTTTCAAGAGAGACCTGTCCAGGAATGCAGTCTAGGGGGAAACCATGCCACTCAGCTTGAAGGAATATTACCAGGCCACCTGAATCGGGTGGCGTTCAGTCAGATACCGCTACAGTATATGCAGTACATTTTCTCCATGAAGATGCAGTGCAGAATGGATATTTAACTAGACGTGTGTGTGTGGTAACAGTGGATCAAATCATTGGACGACAGTGGACAGACGTACTACTACCTGAGAGACGGCTCCAGATCCCAGTGGAACCTGCCTGAGGTTAGATCAAGATTAAACACCCATAGCAATTAATTCTACCATACAGATTTAGATAGAAATTACCCACTCAAATGGTAATTAGGCATTGATAACCTAACTTATTAATTACTTATTTGGGAGTTTCTTATGTAGAGTTTCTCCTCTATCATTTGACCCCTCCAGGCCCCTGTAGCATCAGGCCAGTCCAAGGTGGGAATCGGTGTTGCGCTGGATGGGGGGTCTCTATCTATGAAGAACTGGAGACACACCATGGGTCCAGCTCACTTCAACTCAACCATGGAGGAAGGGGTGAGTGCTGCTAACACACACACACACACACACACACACACACACACACACACACACAAATACACACACCTCACATCCCACTAGCCAGGGCCGACCACAATAGAGCTATAAGAGGTACAGTAGGAGTGTCAGCTGGCTCTGACAGCAGTGTTTAGAGAGGCAGAGTGAAGTGACTGGGAGAACCATATGAAACACCTGACCCTCTCAGCTCTCATACTGAGTACCTTTTGACACCGTTTCCTAAATGAGAGAGAGCCAAGCACCTGGAACACCTTCTATTACATTTCACTTCTATTCTTAGGATCACTGTGTTCAGCCAGTAACATTTGCTGTAGTAACAATACAGTGGTCTATACCTCACATATAAAATAGTAGATTGTGTACTCTGGGGTAAGATTAAGTGATTGCAGACACTAGGAAGTCAGGAACTAGGAACTATGCTCAATTGATATAATGGAATATGAATCAATTCTGTTTAGACGTGATGTCGTTTTGGTCACATTGCGACAAAGTAAAGCTTCCTTTATTCTCCTATTGGTCAGAAGTTCTTTCCGGCTCACAGAAGAAACGCCTCGGACTACGGCAGCGAGGGTTCCAGTGCAGACAACTCCCCAGAGATGGGGCAGCATCACGTGAGTCCCCCTCCTCCTCTCCTGTCCTCCTTCCCTGTCCTCCCCAGTCTACTGATCCTCATTAGGTTAGATCAGCCCTGAGTCGACTGAATATGACAGTTCTGTTCTAACTCAAATGACAGTTTTGTTCTAACTCAAATGATAGTTCTGTGAAGTTGCCCCAGCTAGAGCGCTATGACCACTCTGACCTGACCTGTCTTTCCTCTGAATGGTGTTTTGTTTCTTTTCCTGAAGGCTGAATGGTTTAGACTCAGAAGAAGCCCCTCCAATCAGAGCCCAGAGCCTCAGTGGCACAATGTGGGTTTTTTAATATCTTACCACTGCCCTGATAGATATTGTATCCATCCGCATGCTGTCTATCTAAGGCAGGGGTGTCAAACATACGGCCCGCGGGCCGGATCAGGCCCGCAAACGGGTTTAATCCGGCCCGCGAGATGATTTTGAAATAAAATATATATATATATATATATATATATATATTTATTTTTTTTAAGTATAAAAATGCGCTGCAATTTTTCAATAAAATAAACTGCTGTTCCAATTGAGTCCACTGGATGGCGCAATAGCAATTGTGTTAAGCAAGCAAACTGTTTATACCGGGGCAGAGCAAGTAGGTCAAGCACGTGCAGCCAATGAGCTACTTTGTTTTGCCCGCGATATTTATTACGGCTTCTACTTTTAACATTATGTGCTTTGGCACCCTCATTGCCCCAATATGTCTCTGTCAAAAAAGAGAAAAGTGGACGCAGAGTGCAGAGTGTTCCAAGAAAAATGGTCATCCTATTTAATCACGGAATTGAATGGGAAAGCTGTATGTTTGGTGTGTTCAGAGCATGTTGCAGTGCTGAAAGAATATAACCTTCGTCGCCACTATGTGAGTCTTCATGCCGACAAATATGACAACTTTCAAGGACAGCGGAGATGAGAGAAGGTGAATGAACTGTTGGCGGGTCTGAAGAAACAGCAGTCTGTGTTTACTCACAGCCGAGACATCAGTGACGCTGCAGTGAAAGCTAGCTACCTCATTGCTAATGAAATCGCAGTGGCTTCAAAACCATTTAGTGAGGGTGAATTTGTAAAAACATGCATGATGAAGGCAGCGGAGATTGTGTGCCCTGAAAAGCGGCAGGCTTTTGCAAATATCAGCCTGACAAGAAACACAGTTGCAGACAGGATTTCCGATCTTTCAGTGGATTTGGACAGCCAGTTGAAGCAAAAAGTAAAGTCATTTATTGCGTTTTCGGTTGCAATTGATGAAAGCACGGACATTACAGATGTTGCACAACTGGCCATTTTTTCATCCGCGGAGTTGATGACACATTGACCGTCACCGAGGAGTTCGTGCAGTTGGTGCCGATGACAGATACAACGACAGCAGCTGATATTTTTACCGCACTCGTCGGCGCGCTGGACAGGGTCGGAGTGGACTGGTCCCGCGCTGTCAGCCTGGCTACAGATGGTGCGCCCTCAATGATCGGGAAAAAAGCAGGCGTTGTGACAAAGTTCAGAGAGAAAGTGCAATCTGCTAATGGAGGACGTGATTTTTTGACTTTTCACTGTATTTTGCACCAGGAGGCTTTGTGTTGCAAGTCATTAAAGATGGATAACGTCATGAAGGTGGTCATCCAAACTGTTAATTTCATCCGATCCAGAAGCCTGAATCACTGTCAGTTTGACAGCCTTCTCAGAGAGAAAGACCACATCTATGGCCTGCCATACCACACTGAGGTAAGATGGTTAAGCCGAGGTGCTGTGCTGAGGCGTTTCTTTGATTTACGAGAAGAAATTGAACAGTTCATGGAAGAAAAGGGCAAACCAGTGTTAGAATTTCATTCCGCAGAATGGATGCTGGACCTTGCATTTATGGTGGATGTTACAGAGCACCTGAATAACTTGAACAAACAGCTGGTTGTCACGCAGTATTATGACAGCATACGTTCTTTCAAGTTGAAGCTGTCATTGTGGGAGACGCAACTTGCCGGTGGTGATGCAGCTCACTTCCCCTGTCTGAAAAATGTGTGCGCGACCCAACATGTGGCAGACATGAAGCGGTTCAAAGATAAAATAACTGGACTGTTACGGGAGTTTGAGCAACGCTTTCAGATTTATGTTTATATGTTTTTATGTTGATGTGCTATTGTTTTTAATTGATTTTATTTTATTTGTATATTTAACCTATTCTTGACTCTTGCACTTGTTTGGGGAACAGGATTTCATTATTTTTTTATCTACATTTCTGCCTGAGAAATGACACCCTGATATAGTTCTGTGATCTGTGAAACAGTTCTGTTAATCACTGAGGCATTGTGTGTTTGTGTGTTCTTTTTCTTTAGAATTTTCAAATAAACTTGACGTGTTTTATGATTAATAGTGATGTTGTGCTTGTACTATTTTGGACACACTGTCCTCAGGCTCCAGCTTTATGTTGTATGTTGATCGTATTAAAACAAAGAAAACAATCTGAAGTTGTTGTTTTTAAGTTATATATACCATGATTTTTCCGGTCCGGCCCACTTGGGAATAGATTTTCCTCCATGTGGCCCCTGAGCTAAAATGAGTTTGACACCCCTGATCTAAGGGCTAGTGATGTGTTGCACCCGTATATTGGTGAATTTGTAAGTAGAATAGTAGTTGCATGGGACAATGCTTATATTGCATAGCTACACCTGAGAGAGTGGAAAACAGATGCCACTTGGGAAATTGTATATTTCCTGGTATATTAATAGATGGGTTTTCCCCCTGTTGAGGTCAGCTGACTTCACAACACTTTTGGGAAAACTCTCAGCCAGAGCCACCAACTGCCGCACCACCTCATCACACCTCACTACACTGTGAAAGAGGGCATGCAATAGTCTAAAATGTGTCTATGGCTTCATCCCATCCATGCTGTTCATTATAAAACATAGAGGTAGAGGTGTCTGTTAACAAGCTATTACAAAGTAGCTTGTTGTGAGAGTTTAGCCACAGGCTTTTTTGTGCATTTCTGTTTGTAGAGGTTAACAGGATTGTACTGTGTCAATGCATCAATAATGATGTCTCACTTGAACACTTGGCTTCACATAATTAAAGCATGTTATGTTTGGATCCTTTTTCAGGTGCAGAGTTTAGAAAAAGCTGGAATTCTCAACAAAACTAAAGTGTCAGAGAACGGGAAAAGAGTAAGGTAATTCTGACCTCATCCAAAGTCTTGGCATAATTACTCACATGAAAGACATGGAAGCAAGTGATGGAATTATCAGCCATGAACTTGAATGTATAGTCATCCATTACATTACAGTACAGTAAAGCTCACACTCAGTGGCCTTCCTGTAGGAAAAATTGGGCCCAGTCATGGACGGTTCTTCACGGAGGGGTTCTGACCTTCCACAAAGACCCCAAGTCTGCAGCCACAGGTGCCTCGGTAAGTGAGAGGTGCACACCTGTTAACTGCACAGATAAAGAACTCTTACATCACTGTTTAATTTCATGGAATGCAGTACTGTCAGTTTTCATCAACTGTCCTCCATGATGTCTTTCTCTCTCCACAGAACAAGACCAATCAGATCGTTCCAGAGGTCACGGTGGAGCTACGAGGTGCAACGATTGGCTGGGCTCCCAAGGATAAATCCAGCAAAAAGAACGTCGTAGAGGTGAGTTGACAGTTGGTTGCTATGAAATCATAATCCAGGAGTTGTACTAAATACATCAAATAAAATTATTCATTTGGGTTTACCATTTATTATGAAATCAAATGTAATTGACTATAAATGCACAATTTACTGCCCATTGTGATAAGTGATTCTGGGAAGCAACATCATGTGAGAATATATTTCCCATTAGTCAAAGATTGTTAACCTCCCTATCAATCTGTAAAGCAAATGTTTAATGTCATAATAACCTCTGTTGTATGTTGTCTCTTCAGTTGAAAAACAAAAATGGCGTTGAGTTTCTGATACAGTACGACACTGAGAGTATCATCAACGACTGGCACAAAGTTCTAGTCGACACCATTCGACAGCTGGTAAGTTTCTTGAATGTTTGGAAGTAAATTAACTTGCACACCTTAATGTGCTTCTAGGTGCATGGAGAAAAATATGTACTGAATAAAAATAAGAAAAACTCCCTGATCAAGGTCAATTTAGGATGGTTAACTTAATGGCTGCTGGTTCAAACATCATGCATGTTAGCCAATGACATTGCAGGACCAGGATCACCACCAATCTGAGGAGGAGGACGGGGACATCAGTGAGAAGTCCTCCGGTACAGACAGGGGTGACAGGTCACCAGGCGCCCTGGACAAGAGGAGGATGTGTAAGTTCTCCCAAGTGCACTATTCCTGCTCCAAATAGCAGACGTTTCAGCTGCAATAGCCTCCACCAGGTCAAATTGCTCATGTTTCGTGACTGTTTAACCCCCTTCTCCTCGTCTTCCTCCTTGACTTCCTCCTCCCCAGCTTCCAGACCGAGCACGGCCACCTCCTCTGGGGGAAAGACGGATCAGAAGAAGGTTCGTACCAAGCTGATCAAGTTCCTCCTGAAACGACCCACGCTGCAGTCCGTCAAGGAGAAGGGTTACATCCGAGGTGGGCACATAGGGTCTTCATTCCTACAATGCTGCACATGCCTAACTTGCTCCAAATCAGGCTACATTACATTTACTGTCAGGATTTGTCACGACTATGTGATTTGAATGAGTCAATAAAGTTTGTACAAATCTTCTGTTGTTGTGGTTGTGATACGGGTCAACATTGTATATACTGTACACTAACATCCATCATCCTTCCCCTCAGACAATGTGTTTGGCTGTCATCTGGCTGCACTGTGTGCCCAGGAGAAAACTACAATCCCAAGCTTTGTGGAGAAATGTATCCGAGCAGTGGAAAAGAGAGGTAATGATTAGTAATCACAGTGATGATGATTATGTTTTATGCCAGCAATAACATTGTAATAGCAGTGTATTACTCAGCACAGTATATACGGTAATAGATTGACCCCAATGCTGATGTGTGTTTGGCTTCACAGGTCTGGACATGGATGGACTCTACAGAGTCAGTGGGAACCTAGCTGTCATTCAGAAACTACGCTTCAAGGCAGATCATGGTAATGCCCATCTCTTTACCTTCTGTATGCACGTATGTGTGTGTATGCATTTGTGTGTGTGTGTGTGTGTGTGTGCGTGCGTGTGGCGTCTGTGTCTATATTTGTGTGTGTGTGTGTCTTGTTCTTTGACTGTGTTGTGTGATGTGATTCTGTTCCACAGAGGAACTGGACCTGGAGGATGGCCAGTGGGAGGATATCCACGTCATCACAGGGGCTCTGAAGCTTTTCTTCAGGGAGCTTCCGGAACCCCTCTTCCCCTTCAGCCACTTCAGCCACTTCATCCAGGCCATAAGTAAGCAGCAGGCCAGACGCGGTGGCCCCACAATGTCCTCCAAGTTCCTCACTCAGTGTAGAATAGCCTGAAACTGTGTTAAGTATTGGCCCCACAATGGCACCTCCGTTTTCTTAACCAGTGTAGCACTGTGTTATGCTATTACTTCACTATCAAGGAAGGACAAATCATGTTTACCACCCCACTTACCTTTTTATGAAGTATTGGAGATTATAACACACTTGTGCCCTTGAATCTATACATTAGTGTAACATTTATTGTTCTGTCTTGTTTTCAGGAGCTGTTGATTACAACCTCAAAGTGTCTTACATGCGAGAGCTGGTGGAATCTCTCCCTCGGCCAAACCATGACACCATGGAACTCCTCTTCAGCCATTTACGCAAGTATGTCTTTCACACTCACATGTTTCCTGTATTTCAAATGGTCCCCTATTTGTTATTTAGAGGACTGTTTTTGACCAGAGCCCTATTGTAATGATGATATTATGATAACTGATTATATTCTGCTTCTCTCACTCTCTCTCACTCTCTCTCTCTCACTCACTCACTCACTCACACTCTCTCTCTCTCTCTCTCTCTCTCTCTCTCTCTCTCTCCATCCTCTCTCTCAGAGTGATAAACTATGGAGAAGAAAACCGTATGACTGTGCAGAACGTGGCTATCGTCTTCGGTCCCACGCTGCTCCGGCCAGAGATGGAGTCAGCCAACATCGCCATGCACATGGTTTTCCAGAACCAGATAGTGGAGCTAGTCCTCAACGAATACGAATACATCTTCCATTCCAGTTGAAACAATCATAATCACAAATAATCTCTCCTTCTTTCTGAAGTGTGCACTCATTCAATACTCCCCACAAATGTAAAAGCATTGGATTGGTGTAGGCATGGGCTAGAGGGAGTTTACATATAGGCCTACCAGTCATGTCCTTTCAAATCATGAAGGGAAGTGAACAAGTGCACACTTCAGGAGAAAGGAGAGATTATTGGGAGGCAACCATAGAGGAGCTGCTTGCATTAGGCCTATTTGAAGGCGATGTCAAATATTTGCACGGCAGTTATTCTAATATCTTAGTTGGATAATCATTAGCCAATTCAGATTGTTCTCTGAATTTCTGCCACTTCACTGCATTCCTTATTATGTGAAATAGCATTCCCCCTTATGGCATCACTTATGTACAATCTCAAAATGTTTTTGTTGCTATAGGCCTTCTTTGAAATCTTTCTTTCATGTAAAAATGTAACATCACAATAACATGATTTTATCTTAACACCCCAATCCTCAAGGCAACCTGAAGATGCTTTGATACTTTGTTTTAACACATGATCAAACAAACCCTTTTAGATGCATTTTAAAGATTACACCTAAATGTTTAAAGGTTAATTACATTTTGATCTGATGTTACTGTATATCATGTTTCTGAACAGCTCAGAAGTCCTGTGTTATGCTAATGTATCTTATTCAGTCAATGTACATTATGTAAGTGTAATATAGAAATATATAAAATATGTGCTACCAACAACCTGCTGTGAATCCCTTGTACAGCCTCTCTAGATTTGTTACTGGATAATGAGATACCACCTTTTTTTTAAATAGGCACATTTAATGTTAATTAAACAAATCCTCATTGTAAATGAACACACAGAATGATAATGACATATGGCTATACTATTTCAATAAGTTTGTTAGCATTAATAGAGTTGGAAAAGGCCAGACCTAAATGAATAGACAGTTGTGAGAAGCATAACATTTTTTTTGTTTGTTCTGTACATAGAAATAGATAGCATATTTATGCTGTAAATTACTGAACATGCACGTGTTCCTTTAATAAAATTACTTTGTAAAAACATGGCACCTAACATGACTCACTGCTTTCTCAACATTTATTGTTTCAAATGGTTAAATATATAAAATAATTTATCCCAACCCTTATCCATTCATGTGATAGATGGGTGTGATACATAGAGAAAGATAGAGGCCTCTAGTGGCCAAAAGGCTGTTTTAGCATGGGCAGCGCTATTGAGGGCTTCCACCATTTTAATGTAGTCAACTGGGTGGGACTTCCAACTTCATTGGCTGATCCCTCCTGGTGACCCTGTTGGAGTCATGTCCAGCCGAGTCATCAGGAGTGATCAGCCAATCGTGAAGAAGAAAATGTACTATTTCAAAATGGATATGCCCATGCATCACAGACACTATAATCAAAGACAGTACAGTATGAAGATAGGCTAAAATTGCTTCTCAAATGGAAAAACCCCTATCACACTTGTAGGCGATGTCATGCGTAGAAACATGTCATCGGGCCTAATGGTCGTCTCGCGCTGAACTGCGCAGGCCGTCAAATCAAAGGCACTCCTTTGTTATAAAGTCATTTTTGAAGAAAATGAAAACGTGTCAGTTTGTCACTTTCACAAGGTTGGAGTCGAACAACTTAAGACATTGGCTCGAATCTAGGTTGTGCCTTTAGATTCCGAGAAAATTAAGAACTAAGGAAGAATGTTTCACTTCTCTATCCCCAAACCCCACCATGGTCTGCTTTGAAAGCGTTCCCGGAAGTCTCGCGATGTTGTGCCTCTGGGTTTAGAAACTATAATGCCACAGATACAATGAGTCCTCTATCTATCTCTATGGTGTGATATGATTTTCTAGGAGGGAACGATTTAGAGGTTGTATTTACTTCCGGGTGTCAGCTTGTGTTTACATCATTTTGCAATGAGTTTTGAGTGGCCCTGGCAATATAATTTTCCTCCGTTTTTTACGTAAGTTAACAAAAATGAGATACCCAGGTATAAAAACATATTGTATTGCTTGGAGTTTGCAAATTGTTGACCTACTTTTAAAATAATGCTAGTTGACGCTAGCTAGCTAGCGATGTGGATCAGCTAACGTTAGCGTTAGCCACAAGCAAGGAGAACATATTTTGTGTCAGCAAACATCGAAACAAGATTTGATACAATGAATGATAGCAATGGCAATGATTTTCTCAACATGTAGCTAGCTAGATAGATAGCCATTCGTATTGACGTTGTATCTACTTAGTTTATCATTATAGCTAGCTAGTTAGCTAACGTTATGATGTATTGCAATCTGTTGCTAGCTACTGTAAATTGTCTTGAAATTACATTCAATTTGCTAACTTGCACAAATACTGTATGATATGGTTGTGTTCCCAGCTAATGTTTATGATTATTATTCACCTCTCTCTGAAACTAAATGAAACTTGGATAACCGTTAGTGAGTGATTAGCTAGTTACCTACTTCTAGCTCTTGACTTACAGGTACATGTCAATCAATATAAGTTGGTGCAATGATGTGGTTGACAGGTTACAGCCCAATGTTGACACCAGACAGAAACAGCTTGCAGCATGGTGCTCCCTTGCTCTGTCCTACTGCCGCCATCACAAGCTCTACACTCTGGACGTCATGGAAGCCCAAGAGAGCCCAGTGTTCAACCACAAGAATATTGATAGTATCCTTTTATCTATCATGTTCTGAGATTCACTTACTGACACGCATGTCATAGATCTAACCAAACCAAAGAAATCACAGGAGGCCATCTGGCTCTACTATCCTGTTATTTGTTGTTGGATAGCAGCATACCACCCTGCATCCCACTGGTGGCTTGCCTCTGAAGCTAAGCAGAGTTGGTCCTGGTCGGTCCCTGGATGGGAGACCAGATGCCAGTAGGAGGCTCTCTTTCTCTGGTTTAAGAAAAATATCCCAATGCCCCAGGGTAGTGATTGTGGACATTGACCTAAAAATAATATCCCAGGTCAGTGATTGGGGACATTTCCCTGTGTAGGGTGCTGTCTTTCGGATGGGATGTTAAACAGGTGTCCTGACTCTCTGTGGTCACTAAAGATCCCATGGCACTTATTGTAAGAGTAGGGGTGTTAACCCCGGTGTCCTGGCTAAATTCCCAATCTAGCCCTCATGGCCACCTAATCAAACCCCAGCTTCCAATTGGCACATTCATCCCCCCTCCTCTCCCTTGTAACTATTCCCCAGGTCGTTGCTATGAATGAGAATGTGTTCTCAGTCAACTTACCTGGTAAAATAAGGGATAAATAAATAAGACTTTGAGGCTAGGGAAATGTAATAAGGATGTTCTCTGAAATTATACCCACTGAATGTTTCACCTCAGAAACCTTAACTGATCATTCAGGAAAACTATCAACGGATGCCATACTAATTGTTTTTGAGGAATTAAGGAAAAAAGGTAACAGGGCTGCTTTTATTGAAGGATGGATTCTGATACTTATTCTGACACTAACAATAATTTAACGATATTGTTTGCAGGGAACCTGGAATGGTTAGACAAGAACAAGACACGGTGTCTAGTCATGTGGAGGAGGCCAGAGGAATGGGGGAAACTGATTTACCAGTGGGTGAGTAGGTCTGCTATAGGCCCTGATCTAAAGTAATGCACTATATAGGGAATAGGGTGCCATTTGGGATGTACATTGTTAGAAGAATACTGCAATGTAGCATCATTATAGAAGATATGCTGTAGCCTAGTAGTTTTCCAGCAAGTAATAGTCTAAATCCTGGTGTTATCCGTACTCTGTTGATACTTCTTGATGAAAGGAGTTCATGTTCCCTCTCCCTATCATTTCAGGTCTCTAAAAACGGTATGGCCAATACAGTGTTTACGCTCTATGAGCTCGCCAACGGTGACGACACAGAAAGCGAAGGTAGCATTTCTATCTATTCATCAGTACCTAAAGACATCTGTACTATTTCATACCTTCGGTTGAGCTGTACAGCAAAAGTAATTAGATGTAACCCATTTCCCACAGAATTCCATGGGCTGGAGGACTGGATGCTGATTCGTTCTCTGCAGGCCCTGCAGATGGACGGCAAGGCAGAGGTCATCACCATGGACGACGGGAAGGGGGTCAAGTTCTTCTGAAGAGGCATTGCATTGTGGGATTGATCAAGTGCTCAACTCAGACTGGGAACCTTTATCCTTATAGGCTGTGAGAGTACTGCTAGCCTGGTCTCAGATCTGTTTGGGCTGTCCTGCCAACTCCCTGTGGTCATTTGCGTGACACAGGAGGTGGCAAGACAGTGCAAACAGATCTGGGACCAGCTTAATGAAGGTTCTGCTGTTTAAAAGGCTATTATTTGCACCTCAGCACCCAATCCATGTGGTTGATGATAGTAATTGTCATTCTTTGGTTTAGGAAGTTGCCTTTTTTGGTTCACCCAAGTTAAAAGCATTTTCTTATTGGAAGGGAACCAATCTTGCTAGTAAATTCCATCTGCAGGAGCAGTTTAGGAGGTGACTTTATTTTGACTTCTGTTGTAGTCCCTTGGGATGTTTGATGTGGGCAGGTGTTGTCCGTCAGACATGCAACAAATAATTTAGGGGAGCCAGTCCTATACACGTATGCGTCTAGGTATTCTTAGAGAGAGACTTTCCCCACGATCTGTATCTTTCCCTTACTATTTTCTTCTGTTTTGTATTTATAACTCGTTTTTATTCTTACCCTCCTGGTTAATAACAAGTCTACTTGCAGCGATTAGGTGTGGTGGTGGTATGGACTTCTGCTCCCCCTTCTGTATTGCTGTTCTTCTTTACCACCAGAGATCCCAGTCAAGACACCCTGGAGACGTTTGGGGAGTTTGAAAACCCCCTGGAAGAGGAAACACATGGGAGTAATGTAATCCTGGTTTAATTCAGCTGTAATAATGGTGATGGATGTCTCATGTACAGACTGACTGCTGTAAACCCTTAGTACAGAACCTGTGACACTCCTGTACACTGTCGCTGTATTCTATTCAACCTCCTTTTTTTACCAATGGAATCCTGTAAGAAAATAAATGGGAGAGAAACGTTGTCCTACTTGCAGTTATGATTGAGGACAATTCTGTACATGCCAAGGTCTAATTTGAGCTATTACAAGTGCCAATCATTTTTGTATATAAAATGAAAATGTCAATAGTGGCAATGTGTATTACAGTATCTCTGCTCAGGGGAGCTTGGATTAATTATTTGTATTATAGTGCCCCCTAGTGTCAAAAGATAAATAGTTACATGTTTACTACACCTTTATGAATGGGAACAAGTCTTATATCGGAAAGAACATTGCAACTTCTAATATTTAGTTAAAGTAATACTAAAGGTTGTGTTTGAGACTGACTGACCTACAAATAGTAATGAGGGGTTATTTATGATGCACAGTGATTTGTAGATCAGAGTTAGTCGGCAGTCGCCTGCAATGTTGAACAAGCCCAAAGACTAGGTAACCAAGCTATTGCAAGCAAGATATCGCCTACACAACCATGTTGCTACTAATTTCCCAGGAATCACTAGACAGACATGTTGACTGGGCTGTTACTGTGGTGACCTACTTATTACAGTCACCAGCTGGGTTGGAGGAGGACTTCACAAATTAGCTGACAGTTCACACACTATCCATGTGGTATGTCTCCATAGGCTTGGTCCTTGGTGCAGCTGAGCTGAGGGAGTCTTGTTGTGTGTGTTTGCTGATAACTCCCTGTAGAGCGTCTCTGTGTGACAGGTGTGGCTAACTGTGGCCTTGGTGATAACAAGTGTCTTGTTTCAGCCTATGTTAGTCAAGCTCCCTTTACAGGCTATCACTTATTCTGTCTCTCTCCCACTCTGTACTCTCATCATGGCTCACAGTGTTTTGTCTGCATCCATAATGGCCCGTATTCTCTATATAGTGGTGCTCTGGTCAAAAGTAGTGCACTATAGGAAATAGACTGCTGTTTGGGACACAGCCCATAACTCTGACTTTCTTTCACTGAATAAGGACAACTACACGAGGGAAGAATGAGTTGCCAGAAGCATGTTGTGCCCTCTCACATTCATGCATTCCTTATTTAAATAGAGTTCAAACAAAGCTGACGAATACATAATTGGTCATATGAGCTATCAGTTTGATACAGTTTGTAACAAAAACCACAACAACCTTAACAGAATAACACATCTTGTAATTTTCCCAGTACACACTGTCTGTGCCTATGTGGTGGACTGTGGGAGCCTGTGAGGGCATGGCACAAATCCAGATAATCCAAGTCATGTTTCCTGTAGGGAGCTAATTAAAGTAGCAGCTAAGGTTTGGGGTCAGTTAGGAATTTCTGAATTTAATTCAATTCAAACTGTGTTTACTTGACAAATGTCTTAAAATGGCTATATATAACAGATTTATAGGATCTCTGTTTTTGGGGTCTTCTCTTGTTTAGCCTAACCTCTTAAATGTACATAGACAGAGATACCAGTCTTGTAATTGACGTGCTTACTGCCCACTTCTCCTAATTCAGAACAAGAAAATAGTGTTATCAACTATTCCAAAGGAAATAAGTTATATACACAGGAAAGGACTTACATTTCATGAAGTCAGTTATTTGAGAAGAGGATCTTGTCCAGGTAGTCTACAGAAGACTGTCTATGGGGGCGGGGGGTTGGGAGCGCGCGGCTCTGTGAGCGCACGAGCCGCACAACCCTCTTGATAGAGACAGCGGTTTTGCCTTCTTTACTAGAGATACGGTTGACAACTCACACGTACAAGAGAAATGGACGGTCCCGTTAACTCGGATTATCTGAGAAGTATTATGTGAATTTCACGAATTTGAACACATTTTGAGGTAGGCTATTTCAATTGAAAATCGTTAATTTTTTGTCAGTAGCCTATATATTTTATATTGTCTTGCAAACTAGGTGCAACAAGTTATTTTTACCGGTCGTGTAGCCTACTAGGCTACGTGCCATGTTAGTTTTACCATTATTTTCCACAATTAGGCTAATGTCTAGAAAGTTTTAACTAGGCTACAATGTAAAATAGCATCAATTGCTGAAAGACATGTAAAATAGCATGATGTCTTAGTAAAGTAACGGCCTGGTTTAATTTTCTTATTTCTGGTTTAAAAATATATATTTAGATCCTCACAAATAGGAATAAGAACCGCTACAATGTCACAAGTTGAGGTTGGACGCGGCTTCCCAAGCCTCTCCGTCGACCTAAACGATGACTGCTTATCTGGCCGAGTGCCGTCGATGCCATTGACCTACAATTTGGGGACCAGGAGAAACTCTTATGGGCTTCACAAAATTAACATGGACATTGACCCACAACTATATGGCGGGGCGCTTTCAAAGGCTCTGTCCTGGTCAGCGGAGAATATTTTAACGTTAACCGAGGCCAGAGTAGAGGAGGACGACGACAAAGCGGATACTCCGCCGGCGTCTCCATCTCCCGTCTCCAGCCCGGGCGCGAGCATCACCGGCAGCACGCCCCCCTGTACCCAAGTCTCGGACCCCGTCACCCCGCTGGACAACAACTGGAGCTCGGTCCCGAGCCCCAACACACAAGATGCCAGCTCGGACTCAGACAATGAGCTTGTTCAAAATAAACCACACAAAGTGTTGTCACGCAGTCCGTATGAAACCAAATGTGAACAGGAGGAGAGGGAGGACATTGAGACCAAAGCTGTGGCCACCTCACCTGATGGAAGATACCTGAAATTCAACATTGAGATTGGGAGGGGATCGTTCAAGACCGTTTATAAAGGACTGGACACAGAGACTACTGTGGAAGTGGCATGGTGCGAGCTGCAGGTGAGTGACGGACATTTTATTGTCAAACAGCAAATTCCACAGTGTTAAATTAACACTGAAAGCAGGGCCGGCTCCAGGCATAAGCGCTTAGGGCCCCAGGTGCCTAACCCCCCCACCCAAAATAATAATAGTAATACTTTTTAATAAAAAAAATTTACTCAGTCGGGTTCTCAATTTACTGTTGAGAATTACAATAGTAGAATACATAAGGTGCAAGTTAGAAATTAGGTTTTGCTTCAGCAATTTTTCACTTGTTATGTTAGTCACTGACAGTCACTCAATTAGCCATGTCAGTTAACCATTTTTAGATTGGTAAATTAGTTTAACCAGCTATCTAAACTTGTAGTAATCAAGGCCGAATACCGACCGGTCACGCAGGGCACGTGCCCAGGGGCCCTGACCTCCATGGGGCCCCCATAGATGTTTTTATTCACTCTCACTCAGATATCATTAACATGGCATAAATCATGGCAAAATGTGTAGAATTGCAGGAAATTAGCTGTAAAACAGAATTTTTCTCTCTCAGCCTCATGGAACAATGAGTAGATTTGCAGGAGATTTTATATAAAATTGGAAAAGATTTTCTCCGCCCCATGGCAAAATGTGTACAATTGAAGGAAATGTACTTTAAAACATACATTTTTACTTTAAAACGTACATGAAAGCTATTATCCCTTATTGATGTCACCTGTTAAATCCACTTCAATCAGTGTAGATGAAGGGGAAGAGACAGGTTAAAGAAGGATTTTTAAGCCTTGAGACAATTGAGACATGGATTGTGTATGTGTGCCATTCAGAGGGTGAATGGGCAAGACAAAATATTTAAGTGCCTTTGAACAGGGTATTGTAGTAGGTGTCAGGCGCAACGGTTTGAGTGTGTCAAGAACTGCAACACTGCTGGATTTTTCACACTCAACAGTTTCCCGTGTGTATCAAGAATGGTCCTCTACACAAAGGACATCCAGCCAACTTGACACAACTGTGGGAAGCATTGGAGTCAACATGGGCCAGCAGCCCTGTGGAATGCTTTCGACACCTTGTAGAGTCCATGCCCCAACAAATTGAGGCTGTTCTGAGGGCAAAAGGGGGTGCAACTCAATATTAGGAAGGTGTTCCTAGTGCTTTGTACACTCAGTGTATGTACACATTTACTGTCTCTCTGTGCTTAGGCTGCTACTAGGGCACTATGGCAGCTACTGTATATGCAACAACCATGTCTCTGTCACTAACAAATACAGTCATGGGTGGTAACTCTACAATTCACTCAAAAGGCAAGGCACTCTGGGAAATAAGGCTTTACACCACGCAGTGTGTTAATTTAACACTTTCCAGTGTCTATATGGGTCCACACTTTAATTGTTAATTAAAAACTTTCACTGTTGATTTAACACTGGATAATTTGCTGTGCATGAAACAAAGGTGATCATGATGTCATCAGACCTTTTTTATCGTGGTGTATTGCTAATATGATAAAACCTAGTTTCTTTAAATCTATTGGCACCATAAAAGTTTATCCTTGATTAATTTTGTGCATGTGATGTATGGGGTTAGGGATAATTAGCTTGATCATTGCTGACACCAGCTGCTTCTGTCTTGGTGACAGTGGACCAGGTGGGACATAGGCACCTCAGAGTCCTAGGCCTATACGTTCTCTCTTCACTTTAGAATAGGCCTAATTC